GGATTAGGTGTTCCGGATTTGCGTAGGAGGAATTGGGCGCTTTTAGGGAAATGGTGGTATAGGTTAGGGGATGGAAGGGAGGGGTTGTGGAAAAGGGTAGTGAAAGAGAAATTTTACGAGGGTAAGCAAGAGGTGGGTATGATTGATGTGGTGAGTTTGAGGGTATCGCAGATTTGGGGAGATATCATTAGAATAGGGGGAAAATCGGAGAAGCTCAAAAATATGTTAAGGCATGGGTTCCGGTGGGAGGTGGGGGAGGGTTGTCGAGTGTGCTTTTGGAGAGATATTTGGGTGGGGGATAAATCACTAAGAGATTTATTTCCAAGGTTGTTTCAACTAGCTATCAACAAGGAAGGTACGGTCAAGGAGAATGGTTTATGGGAAGGAGAAAGGTGGAAATGGGGTATAGAGTGGAGGAGAGAGAGGATGGGACGAGAGAAAGATGAGGAGCAGGGGTTGGGGGTGGTGTTGGCGAATTTAAAGTTAAGGAAAGGAATGGCAGATTTATGGAGATGGAGGCATGATGTAGAAGGGAGGTATGCTGTCAAGATAGCATATGAATTCTTAGCCCCTGAGGAACGTTTGCTTGAGGGTCAATTGTGTAATTTAATATGGTGCAAGCTGGTGCCTTCAAAAGTGGGGTTTTTTGGGTGGAGGTTGTGTCTCGACTGGCTTCCGACAAGATGGAATTTGTGGAAGAGAGGGGTGATGTTACAAGGGGAAGGTATGGTGTGTGGGCTTTGCAAAGAGGGTGTGGAGGATGTTAATCATTTGTTCTGCACATGTAAAGTAGCTTGGTTAGTATGGATGAAGGTGTTTAAATGGTGGGGTGTGGAGGTAGTAATGCCGGGTACAGTGAGGGGTGTGGTGGATTTCTTTTTGTGGTGTTGGGGGAGTGTGGGGGGAAAGGAATTGGGAGCATGCATGTTTTTGGTCACATCTTGGTATTTATGGTTTTGGCGGAATAGTTTGGTATTTAGGAATAATGGGGAGATGAAAGAGCAATTGCTGGAGTTAATTCAAGTGAAATCTTATTTATGGATTAGAAATAAGGTGAATGGGTGTGTTTTTTCATTAGCTCAGTGGCAAAGTAATCCTAAGGAATGTGCCAAGGAGTTGAAGAGTTTCAAGAAATCTCTCAAATTGTTCACGAAGCAACAGCAAAATCATAGTCCCCTGTAGAGAGCATTGGCTGTATGGTTGTTTTCACGGAAGGCTGTAAGAGGCAGTGGCTATCTGGTCTTTAGTTTAATTGCTTGGGTTGTCATTATGGGTCTGTAAGGGAGTGTCCTTTTTGTTTTTATTGGGTGGTTAAGCATTTTTTCTCTTTGTAGAAGGGCAGGAGTACCCCTTGTGCTCCATTAAATAAATAAAAATTTTGTTTTGCTGATCAAAAAAAAAAAAACTGTTGAAGGATCCACTATCAAAGAGAAAGGATGAAGTTGGTCACGCGGTTTCCGCTCGCCAGTAAATTGGTGACAGTTTTCAAAACAAACATAAGAATGAAGTTGGTGACGCGGTTTCCGCTCGCCAGTAAATTGGTGACAGTTTTCAAAACAAACATAAGAACCAAGAGACAAGCCATTTATGCAAGAGCAATGCTAAGGGCACTCGCCCATATGCACTCTCTTTAACACTTGCCCCTTCTCTTTCTGACACGTTGCATAAACATTGAGGGAAAATAGATGTAAATCGGTAAGCGAGAAATATTGCTTACCTTTACCTTTATTTTTTTTTTCTTCACTTTGTAATGTTTCTTTTAGTGAACTGGTGATGGTGATTCGACAGGAAAAGAATTTTTTCTAGTGTATTTTGTAAATACGTTTTATTTTGTTAATAGTCGTAACTACTTTGATTTTAAAAGTATTTTAAATATTTTAAATTTA